TCCTCCTTTCCTATCAAACATCTATCGTCCTTATCTCTCCTCCTTCTCTCCTATCAAACATCTATCGTCCTTATCTCTCCTCCTTCCTTTGCTGTTCTATGACCTATAAATGCCACAAGTGCTGTAAAACTGTCCCCCCAACGACACATTGTGTGTATGTGTGTGCGTGTGTCCCAACGACATCTTGCGTGTGTGTGTCCCCCCAATGACGGCTTGTGTGTGTGTGTGTGTGTCCCCCCCCCCAGCGCGCCAGGAAGAGATGAGCAGCTCGTCGGGTCTGGGCACGTACCTGGAGCGTCTGATCCCCGGCCTCAAGCACAGGGGAAACTACAACCCCAAGGACACACAGGACGAAGGTGGCTCTGTTATCTGTGTGTGTTCTTGTGTGTGTGTGTGTGTTGTTGTTGTTGTCTGTTATCTGTGTGTGTTATTGTGTGTGTGTGTGTGCTGTTGTTGTCTGTTATCTGTGTGTGTTGTTGTGTGTGTGTGTTGTTGTTGTGTGTTATCTGAGTGTATTGTTTGTGTGTGTGTGTTGTGTGTGTGTGTTGTTGTGTGTGTGTGTGTTGTTGTCTGGTATCTGTGTGTGTTGTGTGTGTGTGTGTGTGTTGTTGTCTGTTATCTGTGTGTGTTGTTGTGTGTGTGTGTGTGTTGTTGTCTGTTATCTGTGTGTGTTGTCGTCTGTTATCTGTGTGTGTTGTTGTGTGTGTGTGTGTGTGTTGTTGTTGTTGTTGTGTGTGTGTGTGTGTGTGTTGTTGTGTGTGTGTGTGTGTTGTCTGTTATCTGTGTGTGTTGTTGTGTGTGTGTTGTTGTTGTTGTGTGTGTGTTGTTGTTGTTGTGTGTGTGTGTGTGTGTGTGCGCCGCTGTGTGTGTGTGTTGTTGCTGTGTGTGTGTGTGTGCTGCTGCTGTGTGTGTTGTTGTGTGTAGTGTTATTGTGTGTATGTTGTTGTGTGTGTTGTTGTGTGTTATTATGTGTGTGTGTGTGTTGTGTATTATGTGTGTGTGTGTTGTTGTGTGTTATTATGTGTGTGTTGTTGTGTGTTATTATATGTGTGTTGTTGTGTGTTATTGTGTGTGTGTTGTTGTTTGTTGTTGTGTGTGTGTTGTTGTTGTTTATTGTTGTGTGTGTGTGTTTTTGTGTTTTATTATATGTGTGCTGGTGTGTGTTATTATGTGTGTGTTATTATATGTCTGTTGTTGTGTGTGTCATTGTGTATATGTTGTTGTGTGTTATTATGTGTGTGGGTGTCATTGTGTGTGTTTGTCATTGTATGTGTGTATTATGTGTGTGTGTATTATGAATGTGTGTAATTGTGTGTGTGTATTATGAATGTGTGTCATTATGAATGTGTGTCATTATGTGTGTGTATTATGAATGTGTGTGTATTATGTATGTGTGTATTATGAATGTGTGTCATTATGTGTGTGTATTATGAATGTGTGTCATTATGTGTGTGTATTATGAATGTGTGTATTATGAATGTGTGTCATTATGTGTTTGTATTATGAATGTGTGTCATTGTATGTGTGTCATTGTGTGTGTGTTGTTGTGTCATTATGTGTGTGTATTATGAATGTGTGTCATTATGTATGTGTGCCTCTCTCGGTCCCCAGCGGCGGCCATCATCCCCAGTGACCTTGACCGGGACTGTGCCATCTGCATGGACCGTCTGCGCGACTGTCTGTTCCGGCCGTGCAACCACATGGTCACGTGCCTGGAGTGTGGACAGATGCTGCAGGCTCGCCAGGACGCGTGTCCCGTGTGTAGAAAGGACATCGAGCAGACCATCCGCGTGTTCCACAACTGACCAATAGACGACTCGGGTGTTCCACAACTGACCAATAGTCCATCCGCATGTTCCACAACTGATCAATAGACGACTCGGGTGTTCCACAACTGACCAATAGACGACTCGGGTGTTCCACAACTGACCAATAGACCATCCGCGTGTTCCACAACTGACCAATAGACGACTCGGGTGTTCCACAACTGACGAATAGACGACTCAGGTGTTCCACAACTGATGAATATACAACTCAGGTGTTTCACAACTGACCAACAGTTGATCCCAACAACTGATGTCGATGATGCTGGTCTGTTCACGACGTCGCCACTCTACTGGCCAGGATGTTTGGCTCACAACCGTACAGTCGTGGGCGAGGGTTTGAATCCTGTCAGGGGCCCAATGTTGTGTCCCTGGGAAAGGAACTTTACACGACATTTCCCCCCCCCCCCCCAGTTGGAATAAGTGCCCGGTATAGACAGTGAAAGCTCGCGTCAGTTTGTGAGTGTTTGAGCGTTTAATCAACAGCTTGCCTTGTATGCTTGTGAAGAAGCCGAGAATCTATATATAGATCTGAGTGTCCCGGGATCTGCTGGGTTATATATAGTTGTGAAGCACATGCTACAGAGTGTGGATATGTGCGCTGTACAAGTGGTATTTGTTGTTATTATTCCATTATTGTTATTTTATTTGTATTATTATTGACATTCCGGGACATTGTTTGTTCATCAACGTGTATGTTGTTCTTGGCACCGACTGGGCCGTGGTCCCCGCCGAGTGTGATCACAGAAGTAACTGACAGTCAGTGAGTGAGTTGTCGATGTGATCACAGAAGTAACTGACAGTCAGTGAGTGAGTTGTCGATGTGATCACAGAAGTAACTGACAGTCAGTGAGTGAGTTGTCGATGTGATCACAGAAGTAACTGACAGTCAGTGAGTGAGTTGTCGATGTGATCACAGAAGTAACTGACAGTCAGTGAGTGAGTTGTCGATGTGATCACAGAAGTAACTGACAGTCAGTGAGTGAGTTGTTGATGTGATCACAGAAGTTACTGACAGTCAGGGAGTGAGTTGTCGATGTGATCACAGAAGTAACTGACAGTCAGTGAGTCAACTATTGATGTGTTCACAGAAGTAACTGACAGTCAGTGAGTCAACTATTGATGTGTTCACAGAAGTAACTGACAGTCAGTGAGTCAATTATTGATGTGTTCACAGCGTCAAAGTAACTCACAGTCGGTGTTTCTGAAGGAACCAGGAACTTCCAAAAGCTGAACCACTTTAATTTAGCCACTCCAGTCTCTGGACCAAGCCTAAAAGAGATGGAGCAGAGCGCCACCTAGGAGAGTGTCCCTGTGGTCCTGTGATCCTGTGTGGTGAACAGAAGACCTTTGTGTGTGACTCACCGCACGGACTGTTTACGTAAACAACTTTGAAGTGAGCTAGAAGTTACCGTTTTTACTCCATTTGACCAACCAGAGTTGTTTACATTTCAGACCATTCATCTCCGAAAAGGAGTCAAAATCTAAAAATAGTTGCGAATAAAGAACGTTGGAGCAAAGATTTTCCCCTAGTGGAGAATCTTTGGTTGAAGCAAAGGTGGCCATGAGTTAATGGTTCTAAAAATAATCTCACAGCTACACACTAGCAAGGTCCAAACTCCTTTATCTGGTCACCCAAGCTCACAACAAACCACACACCCCTCCAAAATAAATCAAAATAAAATATTTATAGTCGATTATAGTTGTTTATTTTAAATGAAGCAGAAGACATCAAACTTTCAATACATCCAAAAAACAAACATTTCATGGAAAGTCACTTGTTTGCCTTTCGAGCCTCATAGCGGATAATAGCAGAGTGCGTGTTACGACTGATAGTGAGCGGGGCAGACAGATATGTTGATTGGGTAGAAGGTTTGTAAACTTAACAAATATCAAAAGGGGAAATGTTGATTGGGTACATGGTTTGTAAACTTTACAAATATCAAAAGGGAAAAAAATGGCAGACTTTCAAAGTTGACCCAAAATGGCGCATCTCTGGGTTCAAAACGCGTGTCCCGAATGAGTTATTGGGGTGGTGGCTCGTTACGGAAGTCCTTCCATATTGTTCCTGTTTAGGCAGGCTCGTTACGGAAGTCCTTCCCTATTGTTTCTGTTTAGGCAGGCTCGTTACGGAAGTCCTTCCCTATTGTTCCTGTTTAGGCAGGGTTGGAAGCCCGTCTCCCAAATGATCTGAACTGTTGATTGGGGCATGAAAGCACCAATATTTTCCACAACTTGCATGCTTGAGATAATCACTCACGTCATCTCATGTGATGTGTGTTCACATATAGTCATCTCATGTGATGTGTGGTCATGTATTTCATAGAGTCATCTCATGTGACATTAATTGTTGATGTTCATCTTGCCAGATAATGTTATATATAATAAATATATATGTCTCTGATATATATATATATCTCTCTGTGTCTCAAGACAGAACTTTTGTCCGGATGTACGATGTACGTGCCAGCAGTGCCAAACAGAAATCCTCAACACCTTTGGGGAATGTCGGGTCACAATCTTCTCCCTCTCATTTTGTTGACATCTTGAATATGAAGATCTTATATATATATATATATTTGTCTATTTTCTATCCTGTTTTTGCAGGTGAACTTAATTACAGCTTGAGATATGTCGCGACCTCAGTGCTTTCTTGCCCTATCTCCATTTTTAATAACAGTGAAAACAGTTCATAACAAAGAGTGAGCTTAAGAAAGAAATTGCAGTTTCACTGTTTAAAAAAATGGAGATAGGACAAGAAAGCACAGTGGTCGCGATGTGCAGCCTAAATGAATGTGCTTTTTCCATTGTCCACAAGAAGAATATGTTGGAATGAGGTGTTGTTTAGGAAATGTAAAGCGTTGAGGAAACATGACCTCCTCTGGTGGTAGGGGATGACACTGTTTTTCTCATGGAGATTTTTATATATATATATACATGTATATATTCCTAATACTGTGTTTCACGTTTACGTACACACATGTCAATCTAATTTTTAAGATGTGATATCTGTTTTTTTATGTAATGCACATTTTGAGCATTAAAAAAAAAAATGGCAATGTGCAGCAGAAATGCTATTTCTTATTCTTATTGTGAGGAATGGGAGGTTTGTGAGGCGTACTGACAGAATGACTTACCGGCACTTCTCTCATTGTAGCCCTATGGCCTAAATATGTCAAATCTATAGGTTGAGTTTGTACAATTTATACGTATGAAAGGACAAAAGACATGTTAAATTTGAAAAACATGGCATCAGTTGAAAATTAACAATTTTGACCTCTGTGTCAATTTTCTGGCGGATATCTTCTGTGGCAGATTGCGAGAAGTCAGCACGCCTCACTCACACAGGACAGAACTGACTGGCAGCACGCCTCACTCACACAGGACAGAACTGACTGGCAGCACGCCTCACTCACACAGGACAGAAATGACTGGCAGCACGCCTCACTCACACAGGACAGAAATGACTGGCAGCACGCCTCACTCACACAGGACAGAAATGACTGGTGGCTGCTTTACAAATGATCACTGGCTGGTTGTGCAGAAATGTGGGAGTGTCCTAATTAAATACTGTTCAGTTTTCTGTACCTGTACTGTATGTCACCATTTGATGTTTCCTCCGATAATGTTTGACGTACACATATATAATATATATATATTGTGGTCGCTTTGAAGGCCAAGCAGGCTGACCCAGATTTTGGGAGTTTCCAGAAATCTTGACCTACACCAAATGTGGGCATTCCCCTACCTATACTATAGAAGAAGTTTGGTTTCATTGGTGTGTAGATTTGTTTGGTTATAGAGAAAACTCTCCTTGTCTTTCTCAAAACAGCCTTTTTCGGGATACCCCCCTTGTGCTTAAAAGCGACCGTTTGTATATATATAGACACTTCTGTAGCATTTGACATACACGTATAAATGTGGACAGGTGTGTGACATAAGATGTATATGTAGACACTTCTGTGATGTTTGACGTACACGTATATATTTAAAAGAAAATTCTGTGATATTGCCTACTCCTGTGACGTTTGTTGACATGTATATATATATATATAAATGTACACACCTTTTTTACGTTTGTTACCCTCTTGTAACAGCTCTAATCTGTGGCACTTAGTAAATATATGACCTTATTGTGTAGCGTGTGCCATAAAACGCTCACTGACTGTAAAGAGGCCAAGTGAGGACCAACCAAAGACTTTGTTGGAGAATTCTATGGTTTTGAGTAAATCGTTAAAAGTTCAGCTTATGTGTCTTTCCTCCTGTCTTTGTGTGTGTGTCAGACATGTGTACAAGTAGTCCTCCCATGTCTGTGTGGTGCTTCGTCAAATGTGTTGACAGCAATGATTGAATTGTATATTGTGTCGTCGGTGACCACACGTAGCCTACTTGTACCGTCCTACTCTGCCATGTCTCTGATGTGCTCAACACGATGTACGATGCACTTACCTCAAGCTGTTGTGGTGAATAAAAAAACAGGTATTTTCCCAATATGAACTCACTTTATGTTGCTAGTTCTCAGCTCACTACTGTCAGTAATCCCACCCATGTACATTGGACTGTGCCCCGGGACAACGACCCCACCCATGTACATTGGACTCTGCCCGGGGACAACGACCCCACCCATGTACATTGGACTGTGCCCCGGGACAACGACCCCACCCATGTACATTGGACTCTGCCCCGGGACAACGAGCCCACCCATGTACATTGGACTCTGCCCCGGGACAACGAGCAGTTCTCCTTCTCAATCTTAGACAGGACATTGCCGTGAGGGGGCAGGTGACAGGTGGTCGTTTGTACAGGTGGTCGTTTGTACAGGTGAGAGGTTTGTACAGTGAGAGGTTTGTACAGTGAGAGGTTTGTACAGGTGAGAGGTTTGTACAGGTGAGAGGTTTGTACACAGGTGGTTGTTTGTACAGGTGAGAGGTTTGTACACAGGTGGTCGTTTGCCACGACAGCTTGGTGGAGATCCTAGCACAAAACTGTCCATGTTGTCACGTACATCTCCACAGGACACGACAAACTGTCCATGTTGTCACGTACACTCCCACAGGACACGACAAACTGTCCATGTTGTCACATACACCTCCACTGGACACGACAAACTGTCCATGTTGTCACGTACACCTCCACAGGACACGACAAACTGTCCATGTTGTCACGTACACCTCCACAGGACACGACAAACTGTCCATGTTGTCACGTACACTCCCACAGGACACGACAAACTGTCCATGTTGTCACGTACACCTGCACAGGACACGACAAACTGTCCATGTTGTCACGTACACTCCCACAGGACACGACAAACTGTCCATGTTGTCACGTACACTCCCACAGGACACGACAAACTGTCCATGTTGTCACGTACACTCCCACAGGACACGACAAACTGTCCATGTTGTCACGTACACCTCCACAGGACACGACAAACTGTCCATGTTGTCACGTACACTCCCACAGGACATGACAAACTGTCCATGTTGTCACGTACACCTCCACAGGACACGACAAACTGTCCATTTTGTCACGTACACTCCCACAGGACACGACAAAGTGGTCATTTGTGTCTCATAGGTACGTTGTATGTAACAACATGTAGATCTAGAAACTCCTCTCTTGGAGTCAGTACACACATGAGACATCATGGTGAGTTGCGGCGCTCATCAAAGTAGATCTAATCAAGTCAAGTAAAGCAGCACTGTTCTGGCTGTTGGATCTTTTTTTAAATATTTTCATTTTTTGCCTAGCGCAACGCCTTTTTAAGAATACATTTATGTGTAGATTTTACTGAAAACCAATCCAAGGTACTAAACTTGTAAGTAAAGCTGTGAAGTACTGTAGTTTCCAAGGTACTCAACTTGTAAGTAATGCTGTGAAGTACTGCAGTTTCCAAGGACTCTCATTCTTTGGAAGTTACCAAACTATGGCGGCCATTTTCTCCGCTAATTTTCCCTCAGACACCAGGTGACCCCCACCTCCTTCAATCGTAAATGTCTCGACTTCTTTTCAAGATAGATGGAAAATTTTTCCATTTAAAGCAGGGCAAATGATCAAGTTGGAAGATGATTTCAATATCTCCATATTCCCAAAAATTAACGAGCGCCCAATTCCAGCGCGTCGTGACACATAGCCTATAAATTCACACACTTACACAAGCCAGTAAGATAAAAGTACCGTAGGAATTTCCTTTAATTTTAATTTCTGAATCAGAACATTTGTAAACATAACACATCAAAGGAAACCATTCACAAGACAACTGAGCCAATCCCACAATGCAATGCGTCTCCCACAACAGAATCATGATCAGTTTAGTCTCTGTAAAAACTTGTACAGAACTTGCTATAAAAGAAGTCACGGAAGTGTTGAGGATTAGAGGTGCTGAGAGAGTCACATTAAAAAGGGTGAGATAAGGACTACAGGTACCAGGTTTTGAAACAGTTTGGTTTCTGGCCGTAGTAGATTGGAGCAATAGCCGAGGATTTGTGAAAACTGTGTGTAGACTGAGTTTGTTTTGGGAAAGTTTGGTTAACCTGATGACCTACTTGTACTTTCCTTGGTCAACAGAAAATGTCTGTACTTGCCGTGTTGGACTTTAAGTAACTAGAAACTTGAAGCATTTCCCTGAGGCAACACCTTCATGTCATAGCCTACTGTCACCTTCATGTCATAGCCTACTGTCACTTACACTGTAACAGTTCTTCCCACTTGGGAATCAAACTGTGGTCTTTTACGTGCGAGAGCGAAACACCTCACCGCTACACCACAGACGCTGTGGGAGGATCATGTCACAGGGGAAGCCGCCACTGAGCTGCCACTGTTCCGCCACTGAGCCGCCACTGAGCTGCCACTGTTCCGCCACTGAGCTGCCACTGTTCCGACACTGAGCTGCCACAGTTCCGACACTGAGCTGCCACTGTTCCGACACTGAGCTGCCACTGTTCCGACATTGTGCCACCCAGACACAGGCACGGAGAGAGGCGCTGGGACCACCAGATGGGGGCAAAAAAACAACCGTTTATAAAAAGAAAAAACTGGTGTCATGGTGGGAGTGAGGAGGAGGAGGAGAGGTTGGACCGACAACTCTGACCTGCCACAGCTGAGTGGACCGCGGGGTTCGGGGAGTGTGAGGAGTTCGGGGAGTGTGAGGAGTTCGGGGGGTGTATGACAAGCAGGGTCAGTGCAGGCTTCACAGACGGCCCGTGACATGACAGACGGGAGGTGACCACACTGCCAGTCGCGCGTCGTTGGGCCAGCGAAGTACAAAGTTGATCAGTGGCATGTGTCGTGGTGGCATCAGACGCCAGGAGAGAGGAAGCAGGCAGGCTGACCTCCGAGTGACCCCTGGAGGAGGTGGACTGACCCGTGGAGGAGGTGGACTGACCCGTGGAGGAGGTGGACTGACTCTTGGAGGAGGTGGACTGACCCGTGGAGGAGGTGGACTGACCCGTGGAGGAGGTGGACTGACCCTTGGAGGAGGTAGACTGACCCGTGGAGGAGGTACTCTTGGAGGAGGTGGACTGACCCGTGGAGGAGGTGGACTGACCCGCTGACCAAGCTTGAGCCCGGCTCTGTGTGAGTGGAGTACTCTCTGTGTGAGTGGAGTACTCTCTCTGTGTGGGTGGAGTACTCTCTGTGTGAGTGGAGTACTCTCTGTGTGAGTGGAGTACTCTCAGTGTGAGTGGAGTACTCTCTGTGTGAGTGGAGTACTCTCTGTGTGGGTGGAGTACTCTCTGTGTGAATGGAGTACTCTCTGTGTGAGTGGAGTACTCTCTGTGTGGGTGGAGTACTCTCTTGTCCAGGGGGACAACTGACGGTGAGACAACTTGTGGTTTGTAGTGGAGGGGGACAACTCGCAGCAGGTGAACACACAGGTGTACCAGTTGGTCGTAGAGAGGAGGACGTGGCAGTGGCAGACACACCCGGACTGACCGTGGGACGAGGGAATCTGTGTGGAGGATTCAGTTTGTCCGACATGGATGACTTGGCGGCTGTCACCAGCACACAGGTTGACAGGTTGGACGCTGGCTGCTCCTCGCTGCTAGAGGGCGCCCACTGTGGCCGGTTGTCCGGACGAGCGACGTCTGACTCCGGGATGAAACTGTCGAGGCTGGCCGGTGAACCACGACCAGGGTGAGAGGCGGCGAGGGGGAGGATGGGGACACGAGCAGGGTGAGAGGCGGCGAGGGGGAGGATGGGGACACGAGCAGTGACGGAGAATTCACTTTGGTCGTCGCTGGCGAAACACGAGAGCCACGGACAGAGGCATACGGGCTGAACCGCTGGCTATGTGCACGCTTCTGACACCTGTTGACCACAGAGGTTCCCTGGGATAAACTGTTGACCACACAGGTTCCCTGGGATAAACTGTTGACCGCACAGGTTCCCTGGGATAAACTGTTGACCACACAGGTTCCCTGGGATAAACTGTTGACCACACACTGATCTGTGGTTTTCATTGGAAGAGACTCCAGACAAGCTGTAGGCTGGCCCTGCCCTGTCCTAGCGATGGTCGACGTGTGGTTGCGACACTTGGAGTAACCTACGACCTCCGGGTCCCAGGGATGAATCCCGGCCTGGCAGAAGCCAGAGGTCAGCCCCTCTAGGGTCACCGCCACATCCCACGCCCGTCGGAACAAAGCGGCAAAATCTTCCTTCCCCGGGCTCACGCCAAACGTCTCTTGATGTTCCAACACGGCCGAGTTCAAGGTCAGCCGCAGCGTGGGGAAGGTGAGGAGCTGTAGGGGCTGGAGCAGCGGGGCCGAGCCTCGGGGAAGGGGGTACACGATGACCTGGTTCTGCCGACACAGGTCCTTGACCCTGGGCGTGACCTTGTGTTCCTCCACCACCAAGATGACAGGCTTCCTCCAGGCGTCCACGTGTGGAACAAACACCTGCCGCAGCCAGCTCTCAAATATCTCCCCGTCCACGCGGCCGCTGGGCGACTGAGTGAAGTGAGCCGAGGGGAAGCCCTGCCGCGGGTTGTAGCTGAACAGTCGGCCCCGGTAGATGAGAAGTGGGTCAAGGACGTGGCCTCTGGCCGAGCCACACACCAGCACAGAGATACGCCTGTCGGGGTCGCTCCAGCCCTGAGGAAAAAATGTATCACATGGACCGTTAGATGTCGCTAGTCTATCACATGGACCGTTAGATGTCGCTAGTCTATCACATGGACCATTAGATGTCGCTAGTCTATCACACGGACCGTTAGATGTCGCTAGTCTATCACGCGGACCGTTAGATGTCGCTAGTCTATCACAAGTACCGTTAGATGTCGCTAGTCTATCACATGGACCGTTAGATGTCGCTAGTCTATCACACGGACCATTAGATGTCGCTAGTCTATCACATGGACCGTTACATGTCGCTAGTCTATCACATGGACCATTAGATGTCGCTAGTCTATCACACGGACCGTTAGATGTCGCTAGTCTATCACGCGGACCGTTAGATGTCGCTAGTCTATCACAAGTACCGTTAGATGTCGCTAGTCTATCACATGGACCGTTAGATGTCGCTAGTCTATCACACGGACCATTAGATGTCGCTAGTCTATCACATGGACCGTTACATGTCGCTAGTCTATCACATGGACCGTTACATGTCGCTAGTCTATCACATGGACCGTTAGATGTCGCTAGTCTAGAACTACAAACACACCAGATGGAGGGTTAGACGGTGTCACTATACAAGTAGCACAAGACAAGGCAAACTTGCGCCCACCTCACACAAAGTTTTCCTGCTATTGAAGGCCACCATCTGTTCCCCGTGACCCCCGAGAGGGTACCACGTGTCGTCACAGCAGAAAATCCTGGCGGGGTCCTGGTGCACCGTGGCGGTGTCGATGGCCGCCACTTGTCTCTCCACGTCGGTGAACCACGCCCGCACGCTGCGCTCCGTCGGTCGCTCCGCCTGTCGATCTTGGTCAACTCTGGGCTTCCCTGTTTGCCACAGACACAAACCACACAGACTTTACTTGACAACATACCAGCACAAACATTCAAACATTCAATCAAAATTTCTCCGAACTCAGGTCTCCTGAGCACGACAGCAAAGCACCTAACTGCCCCACCACAGACACCAGTTGGCTGTGAGTGTTAGTACTGACTTGCTCCAGCCTGAAGAAAAACAGACGCATAAAGACGCAACACCCAAGGCAAGGCAGTGAAAAACCTCACAGCTCATTGTTACTGCCTGTTACACACACACTACACACATCCTCTGTGTCAGTTACATGTGAACACACACACTACACACATCCTCTGTGTCAGTTACATGTGAACACACACACTACACACATCCTCTGTGTCAGTTACATGTGAACACACACACTACACACATCCTCTGTGTCAGTTACATGTGATGTGAACACACACACTTCACACATCCTCTCTGTCAGTTACATGTGAACACACACACTACACACATCCTCTCTGTCAGTTACATGTGAACACACACACACTACACACATCCTCTCTGCCAATTACACGTGAACACTTTAACACACATCAGAGTGAAGAGGCAACTCACAGCGGTACTTCAAGTCTCTCACGTCCCGTGGGCTGAAGGCTCGCCCAAACGTGCCCTGGATGACCTTGAGCAGCTGGTCGTTGCTGGGACACTGGTCCTCACCAAACATTTCCTGGGGAGACACACACACACACACACACACGTTGATACATGTAGGCCTATATATGTATATATATGTTCGTATTCAGTGAAACATAGATATAGGTCAAACACAGAAGACTCGAAATCACGTGTATATCCTTCTTCTTTATCTTTGTCAGATATCCCTCGAACTACGGATCCCTCAAACTACCGAGGCCGGTCCCGACCAATTCGAGCTATCCGTCTTATACTGTGCAGTGGAAACTATATAACAGGCCCGGAAATAACAGGGATCCGGTAATAACAGAGATTTTTCAAATCCCCGTTTTTTCCTACTCTTTGTCTCTATTAAAAATTATCGGCAATAACAGGGCCTCATCGGAGCCCAACCGGTTATAGCAGGGACAAAGGCTCGTTAACAATGTGTAAAAAGTGAGTGAGAGAGAGAGAGAGTAACGCAGTGATGGAGCAAGCCCACGCCACTGCAAGCCCACGCCACTGCAAGCACACGCGGCGGGTGTAGCGAGAAAGGGCTGCGGTATGCTGCCTCTTCGATCTTGCCCTTAGCCTAGCTACACGCACGCGTAATGTGTCATACACAGGGTACTTGTGGCAAGGGAAACTACCCATAAATAAGTACAGCTGGATTAGTCCACAAATGCTTACTTTCCTTGCATTTCTGATTTAACAGGGATCGGATATAACAGGACTTTTTCTCTGGTCCCACCATCCCTGTTATATCAGGTTTCCACTGTATATATATATATATATATATATTTGAATGTGTGTGTGTGGGTGAGAGAGAGTGTGTCTTGAACATTTCAAATACTACTACTAGTACTAGTGAGAAAAACTGCTAGAATCATTGACAGGACCAGACCTGGCCCACATGAGCCAGGAATCCAATCATGTGCTTTGGACAGAAAAGTGAACCTCACACTTCTAAATGACAACCCCCCACCCACCACCACAAAAAAGTTTCATGGACATTTCAAGAAAGTCGTGTCTGCAACACAGCAGAGAAATGTCCATTACCTTCAACGACTGCACCTCCTCCTCAGATAATCGTTTGACTTTGTACTGGCGAGCATAAGTCGCCTCATTAGCTTCGTGGTTGTGCTCCAACTTGCCACTGAGAATGTAGAGCTTGCATAGCTGGTGGCTGTACATGACGGTGAAACATGCCGGGCAGCCACTGGCTCTTGAGCTGATGACAGACAACAACATTGACAATGATCCTTTTCTGAAACAGCAACCACAACTTGTATTCTCATATATATATATATAGATATATATATATATATATATATATATATATAGATATATATATATATATATTTAAGTTGTCGTGAATTGTTGATGCAAAGTAAAATGTCAATCGTCGCTCCAGTGGAGTGCAGTAAGGCAATCGTTGCTCCCATCGTCGCTGTTTTTGGAGTAAAATATAGTAGATAATTTTATTAAATTAAAAAGTTCAACAACATTCAAGCCAAGAGCAAGCCCTAGACAGTCTCAGCTGCTTATTTATTATATATTATATATTCCTTAAAAAATGGGCCATTCCAGTAAACTGTGTGATGTACAGCAATAACGTAATGAAAAAAAACCTAAGTCATGATATAGAATCTAGATCTTAGAGCCATTCATTCTTCATTTCAATTTTTATTTTATTGTTTTTGGTTAGAGGACAGTTGTATTATATTATAGGCTACCTAACACAAAAGAGTATTTAATATCACAGAATGACTCCGCCATAGCGTAGGTTTTTTTGCAGTAAGTCATTATCTCCACATTACGTTTGTCACTTTTCATGGAATTGCCGAAATACGTCATATAGATCTAATTCACTTATTATAAGATAACTTACGAGGTTTTCTTCATAATTCCTTTTGACCTGCTCTTGTATGTGCCATAGTGTGAACAAGTGTAAAATGCTCGGTAAATCTTGAAACGAGCAGGTATGGGGCTTTTACTAAATAGTTTTCGACTTGCATTGGCTGTTGTAGCACTTTCTGACTTCCGCACATTGAACACTGTGAATGTTTGGCTTTCAAATGCTTTCAATGCCTGAAGGAACTCATCATGGGAATCGTATTTGCCTTTTATGAAGCAGCAATTTACAGCCATTGTCTAGTGTACACAAAGTCTAGTTCACAAACTTTTTTTCTGCTTCAAATCCAAAGCAGATTGCAATGAATAGGCTACACTCAAAATATTTCATGAGGTTGATATCATGTAATCTAAGATAAAGTAATTTTAATCTGTCGAATAATATGGAGTGTCGATTCTCAAAACCAAATTTCCAAAGAATACTTCATAACAAAAACCAGATCACAGGAATAAGCTGTGTACTTATCATTTCAGTACATTTGTACAGGCCTTGGCTTTAACATGGTTCGTATAGATGTCCTTAACACCAATTAAGCCAATTTGTAAACAATCTTTCGATTTCGAAACCAACAAGCGCGCATGTACTTTGAATACTTTGATTCTGCCGTCAAAATAGCCCCCCGCTCCTCCCAGGTGATCTTGTGGTTCATGGATCATTCGAGGAACGTTGCTTAAGACGAAAGAGGTCAATTTAAATGTGCAAAAAAAAATTATGATGGAAACTGAAACAGAGTATTTCCCTCAAGTGTCATCAGGCACTAGTCAAAACTCTACTTGTCATTTGCTTTTACAATTTTCAGATCTGGTTTTGAGAAGCCACAGAACAGAGTGAGGACAAATTGATATCTCAGCCGTCCGGAAGCCGAGCACATGCCCAGTGCCCAGAATATTAATGCTTCGAATAGATCTAGTAGTGTGTGCGTAATATGAAAATTAGAGCCCCCTGTCTGTAAAAGTGTTAACTAACATAATCCTGCCTACTATGGCCCCTATTTCAGTTTTATAAGCAGAAGTAAGTTGTAGCCTACATCTTGCTGTTGAATTGTGTATTAGCCTAGCAACCAAAACTGAAATCAGCAGACGCTAGGCCTACCCGATCGTTACCCAATCTGGATGCAGCAATAACTTGGCAACATAAAAACAACTACAGGGTCCCCAAATGGAATTCTACTTTCGGTTTTAGAAATGACGTAGGCTACCTTCCGTCACAAGTGGTGCAATAAAGTATAAAGCTAACAAGAGACTACCTTACCACCTATGCGATTATTGATTAGGGTTTATAAGACTCAGTTCAAGTTCTGTCATCCAGTTGGTGTCTTCCAAGTCGACCTTTATTTCATGTCCCACGTATTAACTTTTTGGAAGGAGCTTATGGCTTATAAATATTGTTGTTTCCAGAAAAGTTATATTTTTATCAGAACCTAACAACATCATGGTAGGCCCATACAGACATTGTTTTGTATTATATGAAGGCCCTGCGGTCATTTAAAGATTGTTTTGTTGTTGTTGTTATTTATTTTATAGTTTATAGCCTTTAACGTTTTGCCTCTTTATGCTCTTGTCGTATTTATGTAGACCGATGGCTTTGTTGTTATTGGGGGGAGGAGGTAATTGTTGTTGGCAAGTGATTGTTTGGACAGGTGGGTGAGTGTCTTACACACTGT